TGTGGTGCCTTAACGAGCTGGATCGAACAAACGTCTACGTGTGTATTACAGTGCAAGCGCTCCGCACACCCAAAACTTTGCTCATAAGCCGCATAAATTGAAAAACATTCGAAAGCACTCATTTAGGTGATCATGGCACTTCTTTGCCTCCGTCTTCTTGGCAAGATCATAAAGCATTCACCTTGGACTATCAATCATCAGTGATTCGGATTTAGAGCGTTGAGTTCGGCGTCGTGGATTGATTGATGAATGGGAGAAGTCAATAATGTAGAGTGAAATGTAAAAATAAAGGGAAGTTATGAATACCACTTTACATTATTGGACACATAACAATTATGCCCATCAGGCCACCATTAGAGGGGCGGTTAAATAAAGACTTCTGGATGGAGGAATGGTCCTCCAGCAATGTCCAAGTGGTATGCCACATTACAGACGTCGTCGTTAAGATTCTGATAATCTACACGAGCGTTTCATGGAGATGATCAAAAAGCGACCATGATCCGTTCAAGGAGTATGCTGAAGCTAAACCCCAAAATATAAATGCGATTCAGTGATTATCTTGAAAGGATACTTGGACAAATATTGATATATAGAAAATAGAACTGGATAACACTTTTTTAGAACTGATATCCACTATAAAAATAGATAAAAACTTAACAACAGCCAAAACTTTCGCGTTATCAGCTAATTCTTGTAACCATCGTTCTATATGGGAAGATGATAAAGTATTTTAATCGCGTTTTTCTTCTTATCTCAAATTTTCCTTAACATTTCTGGACACGAGAAAGAAATTGCAATTTTGCGAGGATTTCATCGAAGTTATTGGATAATGTATTGTAGCATTTGATTTGCATTTATAGAAAAAAATGGTAATGTCACTGCATTTTTGATCTCGTTTTTGTTGTTCACTGAATGACAGGAGCCATATGTAACAATTCTGAGTCAACATTTGAACATGCAAGCCATGTCTAGCTCTAGAAAAGAACTATCGGATATTGTAATGTCATAAAGGGAATCGATACGGTTTCAGGTTTGCCGTCCATCTTCTTCATTAGGCTGGCTTTCTTTCTTATCCTATTTAATGTCATTTGGCTCTCAGTAAAATCCAATTCTATGAGGACAACTCTTTAAAGTAGGTATCAATGATGGAAGGCATTGAGCGATAAATGCAAGCTTCATTAGGATTGCTATCAACGAAGAATGACGATAACATTTGTAAGATAATTTGAGAAGCCAGATAAAAGTTTTTCTACCTAATGATCAGTTCTACCCAACACTATGAAATCTCAGAGATTCCTATTGACATCGATTTTGTTAGAGATTCGTTTATTAGAGAGGAAGATGCTTGCCTCTTTATTTGAGCGGCATTTTTCTTCTATTGTTTCATTGTGAACTATAACTATCTGTGAACAGGAACTTCCTTCCGTAGTAAAGATCTATAGCGATCAATATTTATTATCAACATGATAAAAGCATTAGAACTGTAGTCGATTAGATCCCGGGTTCTAACGTAGTTCCCACTCTAATCCGTATTTTGTCGGTAGGCCTTTTTTTTCGTAAAACATCTATATAGAGCCATGTCATGTCAAAGCCATCCCATGTTGTCATCATTATACAGGAAGTCAATAAACGTCATTGTGGGATCGGACAAAGGTATAAAGCCTTGCGATTCGATTCCTCCAAAATGGAGGCAATTCTTCGCCGGCTTTCAAGACTGAGATGTTGAAATCTTCAAATTAGGCTACACTGAAGGGTGATCAACGTTCATATATATCAGGAAACATGTTATTTTCATTTTGATGCTATAAATCACGAGGTGAAAAAGTGCGGAGAGGTTATCTCAGAAATTTATCAATATTCAGTTATAAATCGACGATTTATAAAGAGGTTTTTCCTCAAGCATCTCAACATAGTACCACGATGTTGTATTGTAGTAACAAGTGAGTGTTCCCTTAGACAGAAAGCTGCATTTAGAAAGTCAAAAAGGCTTTAAAGTCGGCGGTTAATGAATAGAAGCGTTTCCAGCAGGGTTTCTCTGCGAAAAAGTCATTTAAAATTCTTTTTATTTAACCTCTTTCAGCGGTGATATGATGTTATAGATATAACCAATGACGTAGATAAATGTGTCAAAACTTTTGGGTCAGCCGAGACTCGAACCCGCATTTCACTCTACCCCAGAGTAGAGCTCATTTATTCGATCTACTGGTAGATGCGAGGCTTCTCCTCAAGTCCCTACGTCCCCACGTTTCCGTTTGCTCGAGTGTGTTTTGTCGGCCCCCAGTGTACACCGCGGGCACGGCTGGCTGGTGATCGCTGAGAAGGTGATTGGACGCGCCCCATGTCTCTGACGACACGTGCGTTTCGCGTCCGACTTCTCCGCTCCACGCGTGCTCTCTCGCCGACCACCAACCGTCTGCGTCCGTCTGCTATTGGTCGTCTCTCGTCGCCAACTATCGCCACTCTCGCGCCGTTCCAACAAAAACACGGAATTGTCAGCGCCGCTCGCTATACGTCAATTGTTCAAATCGCCTAACTTGTCGATCAAAAACTCTGCGTACGGTTATGGTAACTCGAATGACCTCGTCAGGGTCATTTCCAGACCGGAATCCACGACAACGGAGTCATCGTCGTCGCTCAGTGGGGCGTTCACCTGAACCCTCAAGTCCGGCGCCAAGCTCTTCTCCTCTCCTTTTACTTTATCAGCGATTGACAATGTACTGGTTCTAATCGGGGTACTGATGACACCGCGTCATCCAGCTCAATTCAACTCCTGCAATTCAAAAACGGATCTATTCGCCAGACTGCTCAAAGCGAGGTGATCGTCGGCGATGAAGCTCGTTAGGCGGTGCTCAGTAACGTTGTTATGATGCCTAAAAGCCGTTAAATGCCCGTGGGAGCGCCATGTGCCGCCAGCGAAGCGCCTAATCAAATGTTTGGCTATCGAGCGCCGGCCGTCGGCGACCGGCTGTGTGCGCCTCAGAGTACAGCCCGCCCCCGTCGTGCGCACACTATTTACCCGTGTGTTACCGTATATTGGCAGTACCGTATGCGTTGCGGCGGAGAAATGAAGGTCAACTATGCAACGACGACAGAATGACGGCGACGACGACGACGACAGCCACACACACGCTGGCTTAATTGGCACGCACGTCTGTGACGAATACGAGGCGAGAGCGGAGCGGGTTTGTGTCACAATTACGACTCGAATTATTCATCCGAGAGCCTGCATTTGCAGACCGGCAACACGTTGCCACCCATGCATGGCTCCTCAGAAAGCACATCGTCGTTTCATCGATGAACATTCCATATTTTCGTGCTTATTATCGACGGTACCCTCCCCCTTCCACTAGACGAAACATTCACAGCTGGAAGTTCGTCTGGTCTTTCTTACAGAGTTGCAAATGTACGAGGTCGATTTATTCCCGTGGAAGGAAGCAAGTAGTCGGCGGGAAAATCGAAGTGATCTAAAAGAAAACTCTGCGCACTCTTCAACGTGTACCACGTTGTCTAGTATGCTGTGTAAAACGACGTCGTCAATGACAAACTACCGACACATTGGCGTGTCTCCGTTGGAAAGCCATGGAAAAAAGAACTCCTCCCGTTCAAGGAAGATGATCGCATGAACACCAATGTAGCCACGTTTTGGATTGAATTCTCCGATGAAGAAGTTGATACAAAGCCTTTGTCGCCTGAAAAAGGAGTATTTGAATGCAGTGGACACTTTTTATGGGAATAAAATAAGTTCAGATAAAAATGATCAATGTTAATCAAGTGATAAATGATCAAAAGTAGTGGCTGAATTATCCTGACATTTATTAGCATTATATGGTATCTCATGAGCATGTACACCCATTACTGAAAACGATAGGGTGAATTTGAGCCATCCTGATCGTCCTCAGAAAAAGAATCTAGTGCTCAGCTCGATAATATTAAAGCTTGATTTTAAATCTAAAAGCCAAAGCTATGATCTGAAAGATGAAAGTGCAAGGTAAAATCCTGTTTGAAGACCTTGTTAATGAGAAATATCACAGTTAATCGAGCTTCCTTGGTTCTCAGGATCGAGTACCGATTATCCTCGGCTTAGATTAAATAAATCCAGAGTTCGTGATGAGCGGACTCGAGGCTGTTAACAGTGAGCTTCTCTGCATTTATCGCTTATCTCAAATAATTACCACAAGTTTTCCCTACTTAACTGCACTTTGAAAATGGCCGTCTACTGTACCAATATCTACAAACAGTTCTCTTCTTAGTAGTTCTCAAGACCTCGTGTTGTTATACTGTTTTCGCGCAGTGTTATGATACTTCAAATAAGCTTAAGAAGATTGAGTGGTAAGCAAAACTTCGACCTCAGGAGGGAGCTGAACCCGCATTCTGTCGGTGCCGTCACAACTTCCACTGCATACCACTCCATTCTCGCAGTTTTTTTTTTTGTAATTGTTTGCCTTTTTACACTCGTGGACGAATCGATCTCGCTCAACTCGAACGCGTTTGCAATGAAACGCGGAAAATCGATGAGTAAGCGTAAATTGTTCCAGTGGCGGTCGGTTTTTTTTTTCTTGCAGATGGACGGCTCAAATCTTCATAGCGATGTTCTGGACGGATTTTCTTACTGTCATCTGGACACTTTCCCACCACTTTCCGACTTTCGCTACTATCACTGGAACGAGCGATCCGTGCGTCCGTCCGCGGGTCGGTCGCCTGATGAATGTTTATTCTCGTCGCTCGTCGGCCGTCACGTTCGTCCATCCGCTCTCTCGCCGGCTGTCCTTTTCATGTGGCGGCTGGGCGGCCGCGTTGTTGCGTAATGAATGTGTGCCGGCCGGCTGGAAATGTGCCAGATTTCTTCGATCAAAGTTCATCGAATTCGCAACGATTTCCCTCCAATAAAAAATTAATCAAACTAGCTCGTCGGGAAGACTCATAGATATCCATCTCTCTTTCTAATAGTTGATTGACCTGAGTTTTTTTTACCCAAAGATGAGTGAATGATACACAAAACTTGGAAGCTCGGCGGGAGTTGAACCCGCGTCTCAGCTTTCCTGGGGTCAAGTGCTAACCACTGCACTGCCAGGACTCGTCACTGTTATGTTCAGAAACCTCGGTTATGAGGCAATTGAACGCAATCTAATCCTTCCTAGAGTCTCGAGCAGAAAATGATACAAAAATGACAAATAAAAAGTACCGTAATAGAACTACTGAAGACGAGCTGTTAGCGGGAAAGTCACGATTTCCTTTTTTCCCTACCGTCCATGAAATTCGATGAATTGTCTGCTAACCTATTGAAGCCGAAAAATAAATAAATGCTATTGTTGTGATATCGACTACTGATTGGCATCTATTTTTGCTTATCGTTTTATCGCATTATCGGAGGGCTACGGGTGGCATTCTGGTCTTATTCGGACCAAAAAACTCAAGATTTATCTTAACATTCACAAAAGTGATGATCATAGTTAATTTTCTCCGAGTGTGCAGTGATAGAAAAAACCATGCCGAAAATATTTACACTACTCTCAGCAAGTTAACGATTCGTTTCCATTTCACATTTCACTAGCACCCAAAAAACCCTCTCACATTACCCACACTTTCACACTCCGACAGTTCCGGGAATTCTGGACACATTCGAGTATTCGAGTTCGAAACGCGAACAGGCTGGAAATATGAGCGGATTCAGTGCTTGCTCGCATTAAAGCAGAGTAGCTGATGTGACGTCATTTGACCTATTCAAGTACATACGAATTAAGTCGGTGCAAAAACACTGAGGCATTTTCTTGTGGATTATCTTCAACACTACTCAACATTTGAGAAATCGACAGGACTTGGATAGAAAATACGCTTACCTGTCAGAAGAATTTAACAAAATCATAATGTCAATTCACGGCGACTGAAGTTCGGCTTATAGCAGATTTCACCACAAACTTCTGTAACTGTGTTGTCTATATCAAAGTCAATAAATCGATATCTCCGGGCATAAATTGTTGGAATTGGTTTCTTTTGTTTCCTGCACTAAAATGTCATTCCACTGACGTCATTGACAGTTGCGCAATACTATTTTGAACGCAATTTCTGCTCTTCTTTTCCACCTTGGGTTCAACTGATTTCATCACACTTATTACTTCAACTGAGATCGAAAAAATCCCTGAACATTTATCGCACACTCGCCACAATACTTATGGGATCGCTGAATTGCGATGAGTGATGGCGATGGTTAAATGCACATTTCGTCGATCGTTGGTTATGTCAAGCATTATGAAGATCGAGAGTCCTCGTTAAAACTCGTCTAGACACCTGTGACACCTTGAAACAATTCACTGACTTCACTGCTCTTAAATAGGCGTCCGAGACATTCCATAAACTCTGCTGCCCTCAAATGGAAATTGAAGATGCCTCGTTGACCACAAGACCCCAGAAAACCGTGGAAGACACTTGATCGACTTCACTATCGGCACAGAATACGCTCAAGATCTGATTAATCGTTCAGAAAACGTTTGAGATATTCTGTCAACTACATTGCTTTGATGAGAACTCTCACGTGATTCCGGCAACTAGAGTACCCTCCAAGAATGTACTAAGACAGATCGTTTCCTTCACCACTCTCCATAGGGAGTCAAGATACCTCATTACCCGACCTAAACTCCAAAATGACGTTCCAGACATACCGTCCACTCCTTTGATCTCTGAGAAGAAATTCAACTCATTTCATCAACAACAGTAATCTAAGTTGTAGTTAGCGCTCAATGATTGTCTTTAGCAACGTAGAAAATACCACGCTTCTGGCACTAAAACTTAAAATCAGAGGAAAAACATGGAAAATGGATTTCTACAGAGATAACATATATTTTCTTGTATATACGTGATATTTTCTACGTTTCAGTAAGTGTTGAGAAGATGAGGAAAACCTTCTTCGCAAGCTTTTGAAAATGACATTCTACATTTAAAAAACATGATTACGGTAGGTTTCGGCCACAATGATCGATTTCAGATTTCTTTGTCACTTTCCTTAGAACGGCACATTTTTAACACGACAATCTAGAGTTGATTGTTTTCCATAAATTTTTTTAGAGTAACCTACCAATTACACCTTCGTTTATTTTCAAACTAAATTTATAGTTTGTTGCAGAAACTCCTGAAACGGGAAACATCTATGAAGTTCTTTTTTTCATCGTAATAGTTTCCACAAAAATTACTCAGTTGTGTCAGCTCCTGGAATCACACCATAACCGTCCAAATCTTCATTTTAAACCTTTCTCTTGCTTCCCTTTTTGCTATAATATTGTAAGACTACCTTAATTTCAATAATGAAAGAATGGTGACTAATCCTTTTTCTCAGTTTCTACTTTCTGCAGATGAACATACACATTCAATATTAACGGATGGTAAACACAGTAACCTGAGAGATTGACTGATTAGACGATGGCAAAGGTCACAGAGCTGAGTAAAAGTCACTGCAGAAGGTCGCCGAATAGAACAGAATGAGAAGATTGTGACAAAACACTTGAACAATGGAACGGTCACTGTTTCCTAGAATTCAAGGATTTTCACAGAGATCAGAAATTAAAACGAAATAGCAGACTTGTAAATTTGTCCCTTGTACTTTTTTTGTGGTATGTTTCAGATTATCATTCTCCTACCTCTTCGGGCAGCTTCACCTATTTTATTTGAAACAGTGACCTTTCCAATGTTGAAGTCTTATGTCACAATCTTTCCCTTCTGGTCGAATTGGCGAACTTCCCAGTGCTTTGTACTCTTTACGATATGAGATAAATTTTTCTGTATTACAATACTGGACACTTGTTTGGAAATTTAGTAGATAGTAAATCTGATCTGACCTGTTCACACTCTCATCATGCCTGAATAAGCTAACCTTTCGAGATAAAACGCAGTCAAGCGCTCTCTTGTTGAAAAATAATCGTGTCATCGTCTTAATTTATTCATAACCTTTTCAATCAGCACGTATTTTTTGAAAGTAATACGGTCTTCTCATGACTAAACTAATCACATTGAGTGTTTGGAATACCGGAAAAGAAATTTGGCAACATCAAAGCCCCTTCAAACCTGCGGCCACCTGGCCCAGCAGCGTTCGCTTTCATTATGTGAAGCAGTGCCGAGCTTCCAAGCATATGAATAATGACAAAGCGTCACAGGTCGACGGGATTAGAGCTTTAATATAAGATGATGCTATATATTTATACAGTATTCTCAATTCTAAGAAGTTGGAGGGTCTCAAATATTCTTCTGTAAACCGTTCGATAAGAAAATACGGCCAATAAACGTCTTACAATATCAATCTTTAGCATACCTGAACACTTCAGAACGCTGCGTATAACATTTTAAGTCAGAAGAGCATCACATAAAAAATCTCGTATTGAGTAATGCCTGGTAAATTAACTCATTCATACAAAGCACGTCTTTTTTGCGACTCTCGTCAAGTAGGTGTGACAGCATGGCGTGATAAAACCTACAGAATATCTGCCATGTAATTTTTAAATTATACTGTTGAATGAATCGCTATATTCAGTCCTACTCAGGTTCTCTACAGATTTCATCGAAAATAGTCCGCTTTACGAAAAATTCTAAGAGGAGTTTGCTGCGACAGTTCAGCTTAAAAATAGTCAAATCCTGAAGATTTATCACTGGAGTGAAGTTTTTGAAATTAATTAGAATATTAGAAAGTTTGATCCGAGCATTGAAACATAGTGACTCTCCGAAATGATACGAATTAGAATAGCTAGAAATACTAGGTAAATTTCTGTAGCTGAACGAGCTCAGTGACTATTCAGATACTGCTTTTATACAATAGCTTGAGTACGGCATTTATTGTTTTTCAGCACCCAAGTTCTGAAACTCGTACGACAACTCTGGACGAGCATCTTCGAAAATGCAGTGGAAGCCGCGATGCTGATGATACCAGGTTGAAGGGAAAGTTCCTTAACATCCCATAAATTCAAGTTCTTTGTGTGTTCCATAAAGTTTCAGTTATTGCGAATTCACGGGAATGTTTCATGAATACTTTCATAAGAAACTCCGCCTGCTGCGAGCAGCTGGACCGAGTCTACGATGCGCTGAAAGAAGAGTACCCGACATTCATTCGTCGAAAGCGTGCGCTGTTTCAAGAAGACAAAGCCAAACCTCACACCGCTAAGAAGACGAAAGAAAAGTTTGATGAATCGGAGGCAGTCGAGGTCTTGTCGGACCCAGCCTACAGTCCAGATGCTGCGCTGTCCGATTATGTTGCGATTTCCGCTCAATGAAACATTTCCTACGTGGACGCCAATTCGAGACATTTGATCAAGATGAAGAGGCATGCTAGGAGTTTTTTAACTGGAAGCCCAAAAAAGGCGATTTCGAGGCAAATCCGGAAGTTTGGAGATCGTTGTAGAAAATCGTGGATAATGATGGTCCTGGTGGTCCTTATTTGAAGAATAATTATTGCTGTTTTTGATTGTACTTATGTATAAATTTGGATTTTCAGAGCGAGGTTGGGGAGCTTTTTCCTTAGCCTGATTTCTTTTAATTCTCTGACAATCAGAAAATCAAAATATGGGCTCAATTCGTTCCATGTGCTTGTGATGAGAGCTTTCAAGTATTCTCTCTTGACATCGTTTGATGACAGTATGAGCGGCGTATAGCATCCCTACTGTGCCATTAAATGTAGTTTTACATCTTCTTTTCTTCAGAGTTCGTAATCAAACTCCTACAAAAACGTTATTAAATTCTTTACAATTTGTTCAGAAACACATTTTGTTTTGATATTTTCAAAATTATGTAGATTACTCAAAGATACGCATCATCGCAAGTTCGTCAAATATCTAAAATCTCAAAGAGCAGCTTTCTTGAGTGTTTTCTCATGTCATCGCATCTGTTGATGTATGTGAAAAAAGTAGTGCGTTTATTACACTAAATGGACTATGTATTGCATTACAAGACATCATGATAATGTCAAGAATATGGTCTAAAATAGCAGTCTAAAGAGAAGCACGAATGAAACGCAATGGCTGAAGAAGACTCGAATAAATACGTGGACTTCAGCTTAATCCCAAACCATGAGTTAGCCAGCCCCTTCAACCGTTCTGGATCAG